CCAAGGCAGGTGAATTTTCTTGAGGAATTCACAACCGGAGCCTTTGGCTAGCCAAAGCCTGACCCACAAGGCAGCGGGGTGATGTGTGAAGACCGCAGTCCATTGGTGGCCGGTGTTCAGTTCGTCGGATCATGAGCCCTTTGGACGGGGTCAAATGTCCAAGGTGTCCAGTGCACCTCAATGCCCAATCGAGCCGCTGACCATTTTCGGAAAGGTGTGTGGTTCGTACGCCTTCCCTTGGTTGGTTTGGATGCAGGGTTTTTCGCCAACTCCCTTAGGTGAACTACCAGTGGTCCACCTACTCGGTTATATCCCCGGTTTCCCCGCTATACTCGTGCAATGCTACGTAGACAGCGGTGTTCGTAAAACAGAACTGGCCGAACTGCTGCAGCATATACTTGACCCTTCATAGACAACCGGATGTCTCGACGGCGCCACAGATGTCTCAAGTTGGCAAATGCCAACGGAGATTTCTGTTTGCACGCCGACACTTCATCTGTGATGCATCCGCCAGGTGAGATATAGCTGCCGAGGTAGCAAAACTTGTACACTTTCTCTACAACTTCCCCGGTCAGGTTGAGGCTGGGGACTGGACCAATACAATCTTGGAGCAGCATTTTACACTTTGAAGGTGCAAAACGCATACCGAACATAGCTACAATAGCACTAAAACTATCCAGAAAAGCTTGCAACTTACCTGAATCTTCACTTAGTAGCACAATGTCGTCTGTATACTCTAGATCAGACAGTCTGCCACCTGGGAGTAAATCCATACCGCTATCCCCGCACGAGGATAGGGCTGTGCGGGGATCGATCAAGAAGGAGATGAGCAGACGGCGGAACCACACATCCCTCACGTAACTGCAGTATTCAAATGCACGGCGGATTTAAACTTTGTACATTAGGAAATGACGATCTTCGGGGTGAAGGGGCGTCCGTTTGGAGGATGAAGCCATTTTTGCATGCAGCACAACAAGGAGGCTGATATGTAAAAATCGGTTTTTTTCAGACAATCCAATAAGGGAAACAGCTCCTGTAAATACCTGGTTGATGGAATCAAAAGATTAGTGGGAGGAGGCTGAAGAACGTGAAGGAATAAAGTTTTTGGGAACACTGAATGCAACATGATTTTGGTGATCCTAGGTGGTGTTTGAGGTTGCAGTCCAGTTACTTACTAACTGTCCTACTGTCGATGTTGCTACTGGTGTTTTGTGGAGTGCGGGAAACAGACTGAGCAGTTTGATGATGGCGTCCTCGGTGAAGGAATGGATAGAGTCGGATGTAACACATAATGAGGCAAGTCGAGTGATAATGGTGGGATTGGAACACACGTCCTCTGTGTTAATAATTTGGTGGCGTTACCATCACCGCCTACTTTATCCTTGTAGTCATTCGTACCTGACTCGGTTGACGGTTTTTGAGGTGTCGAACGAGATGAAGTATGGTTATCAAGTATGCAGTGTATCAGAATTGTGCTACAAGAACCAACTGCTTACCGGCAGAACTACATAGTCGTAATTCATATTGACTTTTGCTCATTAGTCCTACTAGTTTGAGGAACGCATGCAGTTAATTGGACAGAATGGCTTCAAGTACTGTCAAAAGAACAGGTATGAGGGAAACAGGTCGGTAATAAATTGGGTAAGAATTGCCATTGTATTTTTGAACAAAAATATTCACAGAATGTTTGCATATGGTGGAAAAAGTTGAAAGTTTAGGGGGTGACATTATATACGAAGCAAAACAGGAGTTAACTGGGGAGCTTATATTTTGAGGATCATAGGCGTTACATCATCCGAACCGGGTGGTTTTCCGTACAGTCAGAGGGTGTAGCATTTAACGGATTTTCCTAGATGCAGATTCCACGGGGGGGGGGGGGGCGGCAGGAGGAGTATAGTAATCGGGTGAGATAGAGTGAGTAGCAAACCGATGGAGAAAACCTTCAACTTTCTCGTATGGTTCGCTTACAAAATAACCAGAGGAATAAACTAATGGTACGGCATTCGGAAGGATAGGAATTGCGGAAAACTGTTTTGCTAAGGAACCAAAATGTTCCGCTATCATTGATGGGCGAGAACAAGTGTTCTTTGTAGCGGATGAATGCATTCTTCGGGTTGGTTGAAGAGCACAAAGCAGTTGATTGAAAAAGGAATAGGCGAACCGCACCAAACAGTGGAATGCTGGAAGTTTTAGATCTGCATCTCGATCACATGCGTGGATAAACCGCTCAGGGAATTGGGGGCTTGTCCGATTCGGAAAAATGTGAAACGAAAAGTTGCATATCTTGATGAGCGTTGTGGCGGTTGTGGCGTGCAATGGAACCTATGGTCCGAGGTGCCATTTACATGGGGTCAAACGTCCAAGGTGCCCAATCGAGCCGGTGATCATTGTCACAACCAGGAAACTGTGGGTGGATGTGTTTCGTACGCCTCCTGGTGGTTGGTTCGGAATCAGGGTATTCGGCCAACCAACCCTTTCCCCGCCCGCCTCCCCCCGAAGGCAGGTGAACTGCCAGAGGTTTACCGGATCAGAAGACTCGATCATGTAGATCGTGTTAGGCTTGCACCTCTTTCTTAGTGTCACGTCATTGTTATTCAGTTTTTTCTCTCGCTAAATGACACTTTGCCCGACACTTGAGCGACTCGTCTGTTCCCTTACAGCTGTCCGCACTTGTGCACTGTTTGAGAACCAATGGTTCGCGCCGTATAACCAATCTTTTGTGGACTCATGCCGAGTCAACCACCACCGTACTGGGACGTGCCAGATCGTTGATACGCTCGGGGTTGGGATCAACCGGGCATGCCTGTCGGATCTGCTCAGTCGGTTACGCCACATTGTCTGGTCCGGACAGTGATCGTTCGGTCCAGAACCCGACTCGTTCTGCCGGGTCCAGTGTGGTCCAGAAACTGACAAAGAAAAAGGAGTCTAGCCTCGGTCTGGGTGTCCCACTTACCACGGGTCATTTGAACAAAAAACGTCATGATAAGGTGAGTGTGTTATTGAATCAACAACGGTAGTGAATAAATAATTATGCAAACATTTTTTGAGGAAACAGAATTGCATTCAAGTAAACGGATGCCGTGTGATACAATGCCACGGGGTTTCCATTCTGCTCTGAGAATGTCAACGTTCAGTTCATCCATTCAAATATACACTCGTGGAAGCACTGTAGACCTGAGTTTTGCTCTTCTTAGAGCTCCTCCATAGCGCATACTCACCGTCCCGTCTGGGTTTTGAACTCCGGACCCATCGCATGGAACGTGTGTGTGTGTTACCACTGAGCCAACCAGCTCATCACCGGGGCTGAACTAAATTGCCAATACATGTTTGTTCCGCGTGTCGTCTTCACCGATAGTCAGTCAGTTCATTTAAGCCCGACGGAAACGAAGGGATACACGGTTGACTATCTACTTACTCCCATCGAAAGCGTCCAATCAAGTCAGGACTTCCGTGCAGGTTACCGGTTGACTTACCTAAAACCTACTAGGCTCGATTGATAACTTACATTGAGCTCACAGTCACTTATGGTTAGTGGTATGTCTGTTTGTTTGTGTGTGTGTGTGTGTGTGTGTGTGTGTGTAAAGATGAAGGCTGAGGGATAGACAGTTCAAATCAATATTAATTATTCCACGCCACTACTCACAAGTAACTGTGAACTAAATACGAATAAGCTAGCAGGTTGTCACACGAATACCCACTCAGATCAGTCTCGATTTCTGTTTGTTTGTTTGTTTACTCAGACGTACGAAACAAATTGTCGCTTAAAAAATATTTGAGAATATAGAAATAATTTGTGCTCGCGATGGTTACAGAGTAGTGCTCACTGAGCAATTTCTTGTCAAGTAAAGCAGTTTTGTTAGGATGGAGCTCACACAACCCGTGCATGGCCGTGTTCGGATCTGCGTCACGCCACAAGAACATTCGCGTGACACAAGGCAATTCGATCCCGGATTGGATGATTGTAGAATGAATCAGCTAACAGCTGTTCGATCAACGAATCGGACAGCCAAGGACGCAATCTGATTGGTGCATTACTATGTCGTTCTCGTATGCTCATTTAACTCTTCGTATACGCGTGTTGTGGCGTAATCATAGAGTACACTCTGACCGCCGTTCCCCGATTGTGTTCTCCGTTCCTCGTTGTTGCGTGCGGACGGCGAGGGGAAGCAAGTAGGAGGGGCTGGCTTCAATCGTACGTCTAGGCGGAACATAGCACATCTCACCCGGTATGAAAGTCATTCCGTTCCCATCGCTTAAATCCTTTCATCGCGAAACTTCTCTTATCGGAGCAACGTCGTACATTAGTTCACCGCAAGTGACATGAAGCTATCAATTTGTATAAATGGATTCTCGTGAACTAACTAAGTTTCATGCTTAGTTTGAGAGGTGGTCGATCTAACTCCCACTATATCTTGAGGAGTTCACGAACTCGCGTGGACTTATAGGAATCACCTAATACGTCGATCACCCTTGAGATTCGTTGGAACCCCTAAGGCTGCA